AGAGGGGCCGTCACACTTCGTTGATTCTGGGGAAAAGCCGCGTGACGCTAGATGGATGTAGACGGCGCCTGAGCCCATAGGGTAATACAGGCCAACATAAGGGAAGCAAGGCAAGGGCCTGGTGCAAAGCAATTTAGAATAAAAAGTGAAACAAAAAATAACAAAAGATTAATGCAGTCGTTGCTAGAGCTGTTTTGGGTGTTGGCGGGGAGGGGGGATGAGGGGCTTACCCGGAAGTGCCGTGTAGAGGCTGGGTGAAATACGTTAGGACGAATGCAGGACGTTGACAAAAAGTATCATTCTTCAGCGACGCCTTCTATTTGCTGTTCATAAATTCAACGAGACTTTACGTACCCGATCTCACAGCTGCCTAACTTTCATAACCGTTGCTCCTATCGTGCCATTCTGTTCTGCACGCCGTTGTGTGAGAAGGCAAGAGAGACTAAAAAGGGAAAATAATGTTTTTCAGTAACAAATTGTTGTACACTATTCTGCATCGATAAAGCCACGAATTGATGTGCATTTAAAAGGCGGAAAGATTGGCCTGAAGATCTATTAAAAAAAATGACTGTTTTCTTCAAGTAAACCTTAAGCAAGTATGCTGGCAAACACAAGACAATGCACGAGCAGTATTATATCGTACTATAGCGTACTCTAAGAGTTGAGTTCATTTGTCAAGCTACCTCACTGGTTACGAGTGGAATTACGTTGTAGTGTAGTTGCGTCGCGATGTATAATATTTTATTGTCCGAAATACCCCTATACCTAATCTTGATAATATACTTTCATAATTAAGCTTAGTTCTTTCAGAGAATTAGTAAACTCTTGTCGTAAACTTTTTCAATAGGAAAACCTTTTTTTTCTAAATAACTACTACTTGCTCCACTCAGTGGTATCTTAATACGTCAATTGGTAATAGTCAATTTTGGTATGGCATATTTCCCCGAGTGGCATTTTCTAACCTCCTCTCTCGTTACTTCACATGATACTACCAAGCCGCCTATATGTGTATTTTGAAAACGTTTGCCTAACGTTACCATCACAACTGAATAGTTGTTTACTCACTAGCAGCAAGTGACCAGAGAACCTGTCAAGTATCAGGAGGTTACTGCGACTCCAGGACACGGCAGGTCTATGCCAAGCTGCCAAAGCTGCCGCCGCCGTCGCCTCCGCTGTCGAACGCAACTACCGTAGGATAGCATGGCAACCCGCTTGCTGCTGGCAGTTAGCAAGCGTGAAGTCGACGTGCTTTCGGATAATTTAATATATCAGCATCGTGCTCGTCGTGTGGCCAGGCGGTTTCCCCCTAGGCTGTTACTACTGCTGCTAGTTCTGAGGGACTCACGTCACTATCGAGTTGAGTATAGTATGACAGGTAAAGCGGCTACCAAGCGAATGAGCGAGCGCATCGGGGAAGGCAAGTCAGAAATGACATTGGCATTGGAGTTGCGAAAGGGGAAAGCCAACAAGCCCAACAGTGGTAGGTATTTTACAAGACAGGCGCAAGTCGGCCGTTGCAGCAGCACAGCGGTATAAGTCTGTTTGAGAGCTAGAGAACGGCTCTAAACTAACAGGCCATACCCGTACCCCATTTATATCATTCTCCCATACCAGAGCTACGGCTAAGACTGACGCCTACAACCCCAGAGCAAGCAGCAGACCTAACGTTCCTCTAGAATCGACTGGAAAGAAAATGTCGAAAGGCTGTTTAAACCCATAACGATTGCGGGGCACGGACAAACGTCAGTTGAGAGAAGATCGCTAGTTACTCTTGGAAACGACCATGTCTATAGTTAACACGATCGCCGTTGCGAAATATCGAGTCGCGCCTCCTAGTATTTAACCTTTAGTCTTTACTTACCCATTGAGCCCATTAGACACAGTGGCGCACAGTTGAAAGTTTCAGAATCGATGAGGACTTTTTGAGGGTCGCAGCCGTTTTTGGCCGTACCCTTATGAGAATGCCTGTGTGTGTGTATGTATGTTATATCTGCAAGACTGGTCCGCCTCCTCCTGGTCGCAGTGGACGCAAGATACGCTACACTGTCTCAAGTAGGATTGAATTCGTTGATGGTACGCTAATTACCAACTACTCGAAAGAAATCGAGAAGCTTATCACCCGGAAAGAGTCATGCTAACAGCAGCAAAGCAACGAAGAAGAAAAGAAAAATGCAGCAGACAAGAAATGTCCAAGAAGTCACACGGCGAATCGAAGCCGATAAGCAGCTATCGACGGCGACGATGACGACGATAACGATAACGGGTGCGACTCGAGGGACGACAAAATGGAAGACGGGACATCGAAAGGAGCCCCACAGAAATTGTTACTAGGCAATAGCCGGAAGGAGGATGGAGCCGGAAAGAAAGCCAGCACAGCGTCGACTAGGATATTGGTTACCTTTGGGGAAGATAAGTGGAACTAAGCATCATGACATTGGCGGAACAGCGAAAGGTGCCGAAGAAAACAGCGAACGAATATTGATTAGCCTAAACCAATAACAGTATGAGAAGTGCTATAAGTATAAACACTGGTGAGCAAACAAACTGCAATTGTTGGCGTTTAGAAAATGGTACGGCATGAATAAGACGTGATGATGCGGATTGCGACTAAACGCAAAGCAAAATTGATACAGGTGGTTTTGGTCGTCAAATATCCAACAAGTCATCGGATTATAGAGAGAGTGAAATATGGAACGAACAAGATCAAGCGGTGGTAGAACGCAATACATTACAAGCGATAGAGCAAACCTCGAACGCAGTGCTCGAAGCAAAGCTGTAGCCATATAGCGATTAATAAAAAGAGTAATACATAATAAAAAAAAAAAACCGAATATGCGTACCATTTTATCAGAGAGGTTGACGATGAGGTAATCAAGTATCAGCCGAGGCAGATGAGTGCCTTGTTACATAGAATTCGCTTCACTTTTTCCCTAAGACGCAAATAAGGTTTGTCGTGGCGGTGCACCGTTCGCTATTTATAATGTGTAACTATATAGATAATATCCATTCTAGAGTAAGAAAGAGAATGGTAACTAAAAAGAGCTGCATTTACAGCCGGAATAAGCAGGGCCCGAGACGCAGCTGGTGTTTTTGCTCCGCTTTGTTCCTCGCTTCACACTGCCAAGATGACCTTTTTGGTCTTCGTCATGTGAAATCTTCTCTCATGAATTCCCTCAAGACGCTATGAAAGGCCCGTCCTCATCTAGATGGCGAAAGAACGCGACTAGGTAAAAAGCGATTGCAAACGCGTAGAAAGCGCAAAGATTCAGGTGTAATCTGGATACAGCGACTGCTACAGCGGATGGGACGCCGAGGTTCCAAACCAGACCTGACATCCTGACTGTACAGATAACGCGATAACAACGTTGACGACGACAATGACAGAGAAACGTGTCTGAAGGAAATGTGCCCGAAAAGTTTGGTCCATGCCGAGTTCTAGGTGAAGGAGACATGGCCGGCTAGCATATGCTAACGTCCACAAAGGATGGTCCAGGCCAAAGTTGCAAAGGGAAAAGAGGAATCAAGGCCACAATCAGGAGAGTGACTCACAAGAGTGGCGAGAAAATGTATAAGAGAAGCCGGGAAGAGGAAGAAGTCTACTAAGAACTGAGTAGAAGAACGATCTTTTCGTTGGCGACAGGCTACTACACGAGAGAAATTTAAGAGGCGACGAGGACGTCGTAACGTTGGCCGTGTCAGGCCAACGAATGGCTCTTTGAAATAAAGGTAGGAGCCAAAAAGGGTTTTGCGAAGGTGAACTTATGGAGTTGTACGTGCAGGACAACACCCCGCTGTAAAGGGATTGGGCTGTCTTGGTGACAGTCAGTAAGCCGGAAATGGTCGGATCATTTCACGAAAGACGCTGCCCCACCTGATACCGGTTGCGGCACCTGGCAAAAGCAGAGCCGCAGAACGTCGGAGCGCCTTTTCACCGACGCGTGCCTTTCGTTCTCCAAGATGTGTCTATAAGGCATTCTTTCAGTTTACAGTATTGACGCTCAGGGAAGGAATACCCATGCGCCCTTCCACAATATGAGGAACGTGCAGAGTGCACCAGGCACGAGGAGCTCAGGGGAACTGGATGCGAAGCAATCCTGGAGTAGTAAGGGTTCTTATGGAATAGAAAAGCAGATAAAAAAAAGGCATCATACTATACAGTAGATTCAAGCCCTTTGCAAAACCTCTACAGCGAATTGGTTGCTGTGTTGTCCCTGTTGAGCATGCCATATTTTTTCTATGTGAATCTCCGTGAGGAGAATACAGCAATCACCGTGTGATATTGAATACCAAAGTTTCGTTGTGACGCACATGTGCGGATCATGCACGGAGGGGGAGGACATGTTTAAAGGGATACAGTTAAGGGCAGAACAACCGTACAACAGCTACACTTGAAAACGGTAAATTAAACATTACGCCACCTCGGCATTTCATAGACGATGATTAAGTAAATCGCATATTCGTCCTGACGAAGCAGCAATCTGCCCGAGCTATATTTTTTAAGTAGCCTTCCTATACGGTAGATTTTGGAAATTTCAAAAATGGTACAAGATTTTTAGACCAAGTTAACCCTTTGTTTTTACTTCTATTCACTTTCTTGAACAATAGTCAGGGTGCAGTACTCTAAAGTCCTGTATACCCAAAACACTAGTGGGCAAATAACGCAGATGGAAAATTTGATTCTCTAAAATACCCTAAATATTCGTACATGTTATTTTCTTTATATGATTAACTGAATTCAAAATCTGCCTCCGTATGGTACAATTATTTTTCTTACGTGTGTTGCAATTCTACAAAGCACTCCGATTCTAAAATAACCTATAACAAACAGGCTCTGCTTTTCTGCAAAAACTTACATATTTTGACATACTTTTTGCTATTCACACGAGAGAAACACACTTAATAAACTGGGAATCAAATTGGGATGGGACGAAGTTAGCACAGTCGATCGAAGAGTAGGCACCTTTTTCAGAAGCGTACTTTTCACCCTCGTTCACACTCACCATCATGTGTTGAATCCGTTTCAGTCGACGCTACCTGATACTTTAACGAAGATGTTTTCGCACAGCCTTGAATAGCAGTTGGTCTGCATTCAGTTCACGTTACCAATACTACAAGCACAATGAGCTGTAAACCTTTCCTTAGGGCTTCTTGTGTTAGAACTTGTTTGTTGCTGGTCGGCTATAGTGAAGTCCGCTGGCGGCTACTGCCGACGCTCGTAGCACCCACTGAATTATACACTTTAGCAATGCTAGGTTCGCAGTATTGGCCGCAACTCTATCGGGTAGGTAATAAGCACTTGCTTCGGTATTTTGGGGCTCTGGTTTTTCAACCGTCGCTGTCTGACAGGATGATGCCGTAATGCGATGTGCTGGTTATGGTAACACAGCTACAGGCGTTGGCCAGTTTGCCGCTCTGGGAACGCAGCAACAGCCGAATGAGAGCGGAGCGTCCGAAGCAGAGGAATCCCGTCTTGTCTTGGGTCGGCGCCGTCGCATCTCATCCGCTCGCGTTGTGCTGGCTAGTGGGTCACCGGGTGAGAAGAAAACGACCGCTGTTCGTGGACAGACACGTCGAGCGTTGCGCGTTGCGGCTGAGGTAAGTGCTGAAGCTGATGTGCGAGCGTCCGCAAGTGTCGGTCTATCTATGTGCGGCTAGTGCGTTTGTTTGCGTGCTTCGCTTACGGACCTCGGATTGACGCCACAGGATCCATGCAGAGACAGTGGCGACGTCAGTCCTCATGACAGAGACAGTAGCAACTATGAGCAGAGCAAGCAACCGGCTTGGCGTTCGGTTCTTCGCCAGCTATCGATTGGTTTCTTTCTCGTCTTCTGCACTTGATATTGTTGAATTACACGGACACGTATATACAAAGACGCCTAAATATACATAACTACCTTACGTACAAGCAAGCATGCGGTTCAAGTGAGCTAAATTATTCAGTCTCCAACTGTCAATTCGTGGTCGCGACACTGAATTGTTTTTGTTAATTTTACCAGATGGGTGCGTGCAGTCTGTCTGTGTACAGATTAAGGCAAATCACTTCACACAGATTTCGCCGAACAAATATAACATCATAGACTCAGGCGCTTGTAGGGTGCTGTTGTGTGATGTTATTGTCGCACCTAGGACGTCAACAAGACAGCTACTCTGTGCAAAGGTAACCCATCTTGCATTTCTCGTTCGACTTTTGGTTAATCAGTCAAGTTTCAGGACCAAACATGTATTGACTTGCTGGACCAATTTCAATTGTTGCTATTCGTCTATGTACGGAAAGATAATCTCAAACAGATGTCGACAAAAATGGTCCTTGTCGTGCCCTATCGAACAAGCTGTTCAAAAAATGATATTTACAATAACACGATCAGCCATCGAACCTCGGTAAGAGACACTTTGGTATTTGGATACGCTAAGCAGTATGAGCTCGTCGAAAGGAGCACATGCTGGCTTTTGTGATATTCTAGAAAAGAGTCCCTCGACAAGTTGTCGAGGGACAGTAAAATTGAAACCTTCCCAATATTATCATAGAAAATACCCGTAAGTTTGATACGTAATAGATAATTCTACACAACGAAGGATTGGCCAAGTAGCGTATTTTAACAAGAAACTGTAAGGATCATTTAATCCGTCATTTAATTGTTTGGACTTGAAGAGCTTGTGATAGCCGGGTAGCACTGCAGTCCATCGCAGTTGTTTCTATCGAATAAGTTCACCATATTAAATATAAACTTTGAAATTACTGAAAAAAAGTAGAAAAAGTAGGTCGAACTTATCTGAGACTGGGTTGTTGTAGCTAAATCGTTACAATTAAATATACTAAGCCTAATAATTGAATCATAATTCAAGAATTGATCGATATAGCCGTACAAATTCAGGAAACGGAAATACGTAATGTACAAACCTAGAACCTGTAGTATTTAGCCACAGCCAAAAAAGCAGGATATCGCTCATACGATAATCATTCCACCATAGACAGACGCACGAACAAAATTAGCGGACGTATTCGATAGTGATACACAAGAGAGACCAAGTAGCTAAACTCAGTGAATAATAAATGAACTTAAATAATAATTTAAGTTCTTCACTAACATAGCCATGATACGTGATAAACGACCATTACACAGATACGGGCCGTGTGATATTTACACGTCCTGCCGATTGGACTTAGGCCTCTAAAGAACGGGAAGTCGAAATAGGACAAAAGCTTTGTAAATAGAAAAAATGTGCCATGGATGAGTCACTCCAGCAAGCTGGAAAAGTGCGTCTATAATTTTTATAACAGGGACGCCACCGTACTGCTACGTTGTAATAGTTCAGTAACAGCGTAAGTCTACAACGACTAACTAATAAAAGAACTCACAATGGAATCCTTTTTGGTTGGCCGGATACTCGTATAAGTAGTTCAGAGATTCTGTGCTGGGACGACGCTATATTTCTGCCTCGTACGTTAGTTTTACAGCCAGAAACACACAAATCAATAGAGGACAGTCTTCTGTTGATCTGTGTGTTTCTGTGCATTGTGTGGGGACTGTGTGTGATCTATGCAACATTTTATGTCATATAGCGATAAACGTTTACTAGATAGATCGTTCCGTTGCAGAGATCCTTTATACAATAGAAGTTAACGACTATTAGACAACAAGTTCATGCGGTACCCATACGATATGGTTTTGTGTTGTTAATGGTTTAGTAAATATAGATTGACTTTTCTGTTCTTTTTGCTGCTATTAAAGGTAGATTATGAGAAGATGATAGAACCCAAAAATGCGGCCGAAACTCTCTATTAATAGCAGAAAATTATCTAACCTTTATCAGAATCGACAGCCATATTGGTTGTAGATGTTGTTCCGCGATATGAAGTTAATAAAATATTGACACGTTGAGTTACATTCACTGGCATCCAGTAAACAGCATGAAATTTTTGAATTCGTTTGTATTGGGCTGTAAAGAAATGAAGAAATAATGAAGATCTAGGACCTTCAGCACTCGCTTTCATATTTGCTGCCGGAATTGTTACTGAGTATGGTAGTTTATGCTGGACGCAACACTTCTGCATACAAACAATTTATAAACAGCCACTATTGTTTACACCCACCGATCAGCACCACAATGTTTACCAATGTAGTATGTTGAAAGCTAGCTTAACCGAGACCGCTATCGTTTCACAAGTATGCGATAATCTTTAAATCATTCTTCGAATGAACATCATCTACATTAGTACCATCTTTTAAAACGTTTGTGAAAAACTTACGATATCGACTCTACAAACGCAATGCAGCTTATCTATGTCGTACGCAGACCTAAATAAGCTGTCTGCTACCACAGTAGTTTGACAGAGCCGGCAAGCCGGATATTAAGAGTTGACCGTCTGCTCGATTATCAGACGCAACTGCCATCGGTCTCATTCGTAACCTACGGAACAACACGGCACTACGGAAATGACATTCCGTTCTCAAATTGCAAAAAAACGTTTCCTTCATAGAGGAGACGTCGTCCTTACAATAGCTTTGGCATTGGCCATGCCTTGTTGTCTTTAAGTGGTCCAAAAAAGAATCAGGCTTATTTTTGCAGAGGCCTAGCATCTTTTGTTGTTTTATGCTGGTGACGAGTACCCACCCTTCGCGCAGCTTCAGCGTCGGTTCGATAATCTTTCGAGTATTTGCGAAATTTTACACCCAGTAGGCCATTTTTGAGTCGCATTCTACACAAGAAACAGGCTATCCTTTATCTTAGATGTAACACGAATAACTATGTGTTAATGTACCTTGAAAATATTTTGTTTACTCTTTCCCTAATTCGAAGTACAGCCACGTTCTCAAATGAAGTTCCCGGCTTGAAAATGCTTTCCTAGCTTGCAATAAAAACTCTGTTTGCTAAAAGAACGAATTATCTATCGTATTAAATTTATTTGCTAAAACTGTTCGCGCTATGTATTTTCATAGACTGGTACTCGCTAAGAAGAAGAGATACAATATGTACAAGGAAATGTTATTTGCAGCACAGATCCTATCGTGTGAGGATGACATGATAGTTTTTCTATTATTGATTTCATTGACTAACACTGAGCAACCTTATCTTTGTTTCTGCAGCTGTATATATAGCGACATACATTGAAATTTTCCGGTGTAAGATCAAGGTATTATTCTATTTTTCGGGATCCTTGTTTTTTGGTGTGTTTCAAGGACTTCTAAGAGAGACCTTGCTAAATTTAATCCAGTTTTATTTAATTGCGGTGAAGCAACCATATCATTATAGGGTACACACCAGCTCTTCATAATTGACTGGATTCTAATAAAATTTAGTCCAGTCACTTAATTTCGAATAGAACAGCACCGAATAGGATTAATGCTGCAAAAAAAGACTAATCAAGCGAAAAGGACTCAGCTCAAACACGCACACCGTAGATATATTGTTTTTCACTCTTAGTTTCCCAGTGTTACTTATTTTTCTCGGTTTATAAACAATTAAACGAACATACCGCTAATTTATGTAGTTCCCAACATAAATCTTCTTGACGATGCTCTTTCAGATTTACTTTTTGTCTCTGTGCCCAACGACAAGACGCGCCTGCGTGCGGCACCGGCATTATCTTTTGAAAAAGCGTTCGAGCGACTACTATAATTGATGACGCTAATTTTACTATCTAAATTTAGTGTGATAATCATAAGCTTGGCTTGGCCCCTTATTTTTCGAGTCCAAGATACTTTTTATGGTAAAAACAGCGTGAACGTGTACCGTTATGTTCTATATCTAGAACAGTCTTATGGCACCAGCAAGTTTGATGATGAAATAGGGATATTGGCGTTGTTTTATATGCCTTTTTGAGACCTTTAAATACAACAAAACTGCTTGTTCTTTTTTCATTGGACGTCGCACTTCAGCTAGATGACGGGAGCTCTCAACACGTATGGCTTTCAATGTTTGCCTTTCCTTTGTTTTAACCCATGTGCTCCTCATGGTATATCTGTTCCGGATGTTGGCAAGGCCAATTGTGCTGAGTTAGGTTTCATTGCTAGACTTGTTTCCCGATGTCCCATATGAACGGTCGAGGGGTTAGCTCTCCTGTCCTCTCACTCTGGACAACTGCCATCGCCGTTGCTCCGCCTGCCACTTAAGTAATTTTTAGCAAGTGCCCCTTAAGCACGAATCGTATTATTGTCCAAGCGTACTTTTACGCTATTCAAGAAGAAGAGGGCAAGACGATATTTCCAACGACGTACATTACGGACAGAGCTTTAGAATAACCGGCTAACTTTTATATACTAGAGAGTATATACCATCTTAGCTTTGCATGGGGCAATCAGTAACATCTAAGGCTCTCCGGTGGTGTAGGCTTCTGGAGGATCCTTTTTTTTTACTATTTTTTTTACTTTTTTGCTTTTTAACTATTCGAAAGATGAGAAAATATGTACAAGATGTTAATAATAGAGTTTCTATACGATTAATATTGACTTTATCAGTTTATGCTTTACGCAAAAACCTCGTCAGAAAAGGTCTTGGTTGGTTATTTGTCGTAAAAGAGGGTGAGTTACGCAGTTAGTTGGCTTACCCCAGTTAGATTATTAAGGAACTTGCTATAATAGTTGTTCTTTTAGACTTCCCAATTTGTGTATTTAAGTAATGAATCACAAAAATTATATCTAAAAAAAAGTACTTTTTTTATACCTGCTTGCAATGCTTATTCGGTTTTTGTTTTAACACAAATAGAAGAAGGACAAAGCAGTCAAAAACTCATCATAATGATTTCATTGGTAATTGTCATAATTTCCATTTATTTTAGGAGCACATGTGAAGTTTTTCTATCTCTGTATTTTAACCTGTTTAAATGATATGAACCTTTCTATTTACCATATGGTGATTCGCAAATTTTTGCTTTATATTTTTTCTTCTCATAGCGCCCATATCTTTGAAGTTATTGGCACAAAAGTAGGATAGTGGAAACTGAAAATCTTATCTATTAAACGAATTCTAGATGATTATACCAACGTTACAAGCAGAAGAAACTGATAATGCAGTTGTAAGAAGTTGTTCGAGAACTGCAAAGACAAAATGCCCGCCGTATGCTACTATTTTATAGAGAGTGAAAATGGGGAATTTTTACTAAAAGTCGTTCCTGAAGGTAGGAAAAAGACAGCATGATGTTCTCCTATTTTCGGCACCCTCGAATTAGCCACTTATAGCATAGGCCTGGACGACGCGTTTTATTGTTTGTCTCATCCAAATTTATCAGGTAGCTAGCTAGCTAGCACATAAATTCACTGGTGGAAGAGCAACGATTCATTTTTGCAATTTGTAGAATCATCATAAACTTAACCCAGAGTCGTTGTCGGGCTATTAGTCATAGCTGGCATCGGTTCATCCGTTATTTGTGGTGGTAGGAGGAAACCTGTTCTTAAAAAAGCGTAAACGAGACTGAAGGTTCGTTTACGGAATATGGGATGACTCCAATAACTTAGCAAGGGCTAATTGCACTGAAACATAAACTTTCTCGTTTACGTCAAGTTCACAGTTTACGCTATGGCTAGTTTACATGAGGCTTTCGAAAATTTCATGACGCAAAGCAGCAGATGCTCGCAACAGTTAAGATTCAAAAGTACTTAAAACAAATTCATCAGAATAACCAATTGCACCTCTAATAATCAGCGATTTCGTTTTAAGGTGTCTGATTCTATAAAAGCTGTTTTAAAGAAGCATGCGTCTAATCTCTCTCTGATTAGATGCTCCAGATATGCTCTAACGATTAGTCGTTCTAGGATTTTTGCACTGTTTCATTCGTATTGGACTGCTGTATCTCTGGGATTTCCAATCCCTTTCAGTCCAGCGTTCCGCTAATTTTTTACCTCTTCTTAGGGACTAAATATGTAAATATTAGTTCTAGACATTTTAGAAAAAGTTTCTCCAAGTTAATTTTTCGAAGTATTGTTCCTATTTTTAGAGAACACTTGCACGATATGTTTCCTATTTATCTTCCTGTATAGGACTAAATTTCCTAGTCAGATGCCATGATGCAGTGCTAGCTTCCAAGCAAGGAACAAAGCAAATGATTGCTCTAATCAGTACATACCGTATCTAAAGCCGATCTACAGCTTGTTTATTGTGTGTTCTCGCGTGCGTGCCTATTTACATAATGCGACATAAACCAATCAAATATCGAGGAGATTGTCTTTCTGGATTAAAGAATAATTGGTTATCTGTCCGAATTTGAACTCACATCTCTGATCCTGCTTGTTATTGCAGTCTGAGAAAGGTTCTTTGTTACAGGTCGATCGTACGTAACAAGGATGTGGCTGAATAATGTCTAGCAAGGTTTACCTTCCCATTCGACGTATTTGATTCAGTCCTAGTTTAAGCTCATTTCTATCACTGTCGAATGCTATAGTAGAAAATTATTCGAATAAATATAGCTCTACACTCACGCTCAAAAAGGTGCTAAGGTGTTAAGACCTAGCTCCTTCTCAATGCGACCATAATAAAGCATGACTTTTTTTTGTGTATGTAAAACGTGGGGAGTCCTCTGATGAGCAATAGTGTTAAACACTGAGGTCTCCGGTGCAACGTCTACCTCACTTGTAGGAAGCTGACGCTGATAGAATTTTTCAGGTACTGTGCCTGAGTTGTCCCGAACTAACAGATATGACGCAAATGTAGAGCTATTTTTTCGTTTGCTGCTCTTGGCTACAGTGAGGAGACAATCTGTAGAGAGTATAAAACTGAAATGTGAAATTATCCAACCGCTACCTGCATTTTTATATCTTTTTGTTTAGTTTGAGTGTGCGAAATCAATCATTTTTCATTCTTGTCCATCATCCTCCCGAACAAGACAAAATACGGACCAAACGATCGTGTAGTTATATAATAAAAACGCCGTTCAAGAACCTTCAAAAAAAGCTCTGTTTCGTATCGTGTTCGGAATAATCATCATAGCAAAATTAATTTCGCTTGTTTATAAGTTATATCAAACGAAAATGAATACATTTCGTAAGGATATTTTCGATGGATGTGTGTATTCAATGAAAGCTCCTTAAATATAACGACTATGATTTTAGTTTGAGGGATTAACGACTCGTTTGCGAATAAGTAAGTTGTTAATAATAACAACCATAGGTAAATCAATCTGCGTACGAATATAGCCATTGTAAGTTCGTTGCCAATTCAAAAATGCAAGGATTTGAAAACAGTCTCTAGTCTAAAGCGCTAACAAAAATTCGTTTTTTTTTTTCCGGGTAACTGGTTTACGAGAAAAGCTATTTATGTGCTTTCGTGATTTTCACCAGGCTGTGTAATAAAAAATATCATGACGAAGTATATATGGTGTCTCATTTCTTACACGGTTGGGTGCAACATATATATTTTCCGATAATATTGCGTATATCTATTTTGCCATTTGGTGCGTGACTACCCTATACGTACTCTCCTGTCGATCATCGAAAATCGCTCTTTTGTGCAACTCTGATGAATTTCCGACTCGTTCACTCGAATTCCTATGGTGGATCTGCAGCTTTGTTCTACAAAAATCCTTCTCAAAGTATTTAAAAGTCGTATGAAATTTGGCAAGGACCGCACAAGGAAGTTAACTAACCTAAATGGGCTGTGAAGACATCGAAAAATTGCTGGCCTTCAGTCATGTTCGTTACACGAACCTCTTGCCCCCGCCACAATAAGTTTGTAATCTTACCCGAGAAGAATTGGTTTTCTCCTGATACAAATGATAGCCGGATATCGGATGCTTGCAAAATCGTTCCCAATCTCAAATACACACAAGTCATATATAAAATATATAAATACACACATATATCGAAATGGATGCCTGTGTGCGCGTATCAAATCACCGGTTAACTTTAATTCTGGAGTAGAAATTTTGACGATAGGTTGAAGCTCTTTAAAATAGATATACTGCTTCTTCCGTAGAACATAATGTTAATATGGGGCATGTTTTCGTTAATCAGGTTGCCAAAGGTCGAGAACTTCCGTTTGAAGTTTTTCAAATGGAAAGCTGTTGTTCTTTGCAAGCTCGACAGAATCGGCACAAAATTGTATTTCTAGCATCTTTAAAATTTGAGTTAGCTAATTTTTGCTAAAGAGTTCTAAAATTTTTTAAATATATTGATGTGATGATCGGGGAAAGCCAGATACTTCCATCGACCTATCAAAATTATAACGATATTTCATTAGAGAAGCGAGAATAACGGTAATAGGGTAAGCGATTTGGATTAGGTAAAGTGTTAGGAGCGAGGCCGTTTTTGAGGCCGGAAGGTAACACTATGCGGATAATGTAAATTCGTTTTGGTTTATATTTGAAATGATATGTGTATATATATACACACATAGATAGATATTTGAAATTTTATAGTAGTCGTTAGGCGTTTGTTTAGATAGTAGTATATACGCATGCATGCATGCTCGACTCGAAACACGCGGAGGATTCACGCGCTGCGGTAGTGGGTTTTTCGTAGTGTAGTTAAACTGGGCTGCTGTTAGAAGTTGCTGCAACGGTAGAATAACAACAAAGGAGACGATGACATTATGAATTCACTAAATCAGAAAAATTGAATTTTAACCGCCTCGTCAAAACGGAATAGCGGAACAAATATGACAAAATGTCAAAATAGCTATAAGTGCATAATTATTAAAAATCTGTAAATTTACCCCAATTTATTAAATTCGTTCACAATTGACTGCACTGAGAAGTGTAGCAGGATAGTCCTACTATTCCAGAAGGTGAGTAGAATCAACGCAACAGAGAAAATGTCGCGGAAATGCTTTATCAGACTAATAGATAGACTACTTACATGAAGATAAAAGTGCACAGAGGAATGGGAAAAGATTTAAAAAATCTAAGAACATTTAAAATTGTTGGAGATGTATAGATCTAATCGAGCAACGAAATTAGTGCAAGCTCTCTTGAGAACTGTAACCGAATAGGTGTGGATCTGCATCCTAGGCATGATCTATGCTTGGTTGAATCAGACAGGTTTATCTAATAACGGCGACCAAAATAACCGGCTTGTATGGTAATTCCTAAGAACATGTAGTTTATGTTAGGCCGGATGTGACATTAATGGATCGGATGAGTTGTACGTGATAAATCCACGAACCACTGTATATATATATA